ATTACAGGCGTGAGCCACCGCGCCGGCCTGGTTCCGGTTTTTGACTGTTACAAATAAAGCTGCTGTGAACATTAGTATACAGGTTTTTGTGTGAACTTAAGGTTTTATTTCTCTAGGATCAATGCCCAGGGCCAAGGCAGTTTTTATTTATGGATTTCTATCAGTTGCTGCTTTATAGAGGGTGAAGAATACTGCAAGGTGCAGACAAGGAGGCCAGCCACCTCTAGCTGCCCTGTCATGCAAGTTCTTATTTTGGGGAAAAAAGCCTGGACAAGATGGGGTTCCCCTCTTTCCCTGGATTGTATGTTACCTGAGCGTTTGAGTCGTCCCATAGGGCATTTAGGAGAGGGGCATCCAACATGTTTGCGTGGAGGCAGCCATCTTTTTCTGAAAGTACTTTTAGTAATTATTATTTCTGGTCCTTTAAAGTTTGTTGCTACCACCCAGAAATATCCATCCACACTCCTTACAAGAGGAATAAGGAAGATCTGAGGACCCAGAAGGAAAACTGAGTGCAATGCCAGTGTGCACGTGCAGTCCTTTCTCTGAACGTCAAAGTGGCTCCACTTCAGGACCTTCGGAGCTCCCGCTCTGGGTCTCACGTCACAGGCAGCATGTGCAGGCGTGAGGCCGCCAGAGCCAACCTTTAGCGCAGTCTGGCGCAGGGAGGGGAGAGCATGTGCAGAAGGATAAAAGTGGTGAAGTGCAGTCCGTGTGGGAAGAAAAGTGCAGTGTCCTTGTGGTGAGGGTGGGGTCCTTGTAGGCAGCAGCCTGGGGACCTCTGGAGCCAGCAGGGCTTCTGGAGCCGAGATGAGAGGACACGAAGTTGTAGCAGCAAAGACCAGAGCTGTGGGGTGTGGCTGGACGGGAGGCTCCGCATCACAGCTCCTAGGACAGCCCAGGCCTCACAGACAGGCAAACCAGGGCGTGTACGTCTGTGGTCAGCCTTTTATTTTTCTAAGCAAAAATGTTAGGTAAGATAATGCCATCTACTGTTACCGTAATTTTGTAATTAATGTTTCATGCAACGCTGAAAAGATTCATAGTCTCAAAATAAAGTTTTAACTTTGTTAAAGATGTAGGATTTATGTTTTCTTTTTGTATCAGAACAGTGAAAACTTTGTTGCTAACCAACTTGGCCCACAGACTGACATGTGAGACTCACGGGGGCGAAGATACTTTGTCTAGTCCAGGCAAAGACAGCAAGAGCTGAGAGTGGGTTTGGGGAGGCAGAGGAAGGGCTAGGTCCATGGTGACTCCTCAGGTTGCTGCGGCAAGTCCTAGTGCCCAGCTGGTGTCCCTGTGAGGGAGGTGCTGGTGCCAAGGACAACCTTGGGTGTTACAGCCAGGTGGGGACAGCGAGTGGAGGGGCCAGGTGGCTGGGGGTGGCAGAGGAGCACAGGGCCAAGCAGAATGAGCTGTCTTGCATTTGACTTGCTGAGTTTGTGTTCTGTGAGAATTTTGGGGGGAGACACGCAGTGTTCACTCAGGATGGAGGGACATTGCTGGTACTGACAGACAGGAGACATCCAGGCGTCAGGGTGTGCTGAGCGCTGTGGCGAGGCTGGCGGGGACAATGTGGGGAATGAGAGTGAGCAGGGGGCAGCCCGGAGGAGAACCTGGAGAAGCAGGTCCTGGAGCTGAGAGCAGCTGGGAAGTTGGTGCTCAACTTTGAGCCTGACCAGGGGAGAGCCCCACCATGCTGAGCCCTGGGAACACACGTGCTCGTGCTGAGGATGGACTTCTGGACTTTGGTGTAGAGCTGCTAAGGGTGGATTCACAGAGGGGAGAGGGCAGAGAAGTGACCCTTTTGTCCTTGCTTGCAGCCCTGTGGCCGTCACAATGTTCTGGAAGTTTGACCTGAACACCACGTCCCATGTCGACAAGCTGCTGGACAAGGAGCACGTGACGCTGCGGGAGTTGATGGACGAAGATGACATCCTGCAGGAGTGTAAGGCTCAGAACCAGAAGCTGCTAGACTTCCTGTGCAGGCAGCAGTGTATGGAGGAGCTGGTGAGCCTTGTCACGCAGGACCCGCCTCTGGACATGGAGGAGAAGGTCCGCTTCAAGTATGTACCGAGGCTGTGACCAGGGCCCGGTGTGCTGGGCAGTGCTGCAGGGGCCGGGGCTTTCTGACGGAGAAGCCGGCCTTACACATTACCCCGCCTAGAAAGTGAGGAGGCCACTCCTTTGGGATTTGTTATTTGTGATATGTAAGAGTTTGGACTCTCTTACGTGTTTTCTCATTCTGAGTTCTAAGTAAGTTTATATGAAGTTGGTGCATGTCAGAGTGTTTTGAGTGACACCATGCTGAAAGAAAAAGACTGATCCCATGGTAGGCAGGCAGGATTGCAGCGTGAGGGTGCGCCGTCAGCAGGGGAGGCCCCAGGCCTGGCAAAGTGACCAGGCAGGAGAGATGTGCGGTACCTGAGTCCTCGCCCCGAGAAGCGCCTCACTGTGTTAGGAGACAGCAAGAGAGGAAAGGGCCGTGAGGCAAGATGGTTGGAGCCACAGGGCTTTAGGTCAGGACAGAGGAGTGCAAACAAGGAGGGGCTTGGGTGACAGAGAGGACGGGGCAGACCAGCCTCCCGCTTCTCAGGTGCAGCTCTGTAAGGAGGCCACATGGCCTGCAGTGTCCCCCGGTGATAGCAGGGGTCAGGTCAGACACAGCAGCCTCACGAGGAAGCATGAAATATGTGTATGGTGGTGATGTCTTGGAATAGGGTCGGCAAACTACGGCCTGCACGTCAAATCCTGGTTTATATGGCCCGTGAGCTGAGAACGGTTTTACATTTCTATTTAATAAATAGTTGGAAAAAATCAAAGAAAGAAGAATTAGTTACATGTGAACATGACATGAAATTCACATTTCAGTGTCCACCAATCCAGTCTTGTTGGACAGGGCCACACTCTTCCACATGGAGTGCAGAGTAGGGGAGTCGCAACAGAGACCATCGAAATGTCTGTTATCTGCCCTTTACAGACAACCTTTGTTGACCTTTGTCTTAGAAGGAAAATAAAGCAGGACAGGGGGACGGGACGTGCCTGTGGATGGGTTGGTCAGGGGTCAGTACTTCATCAGGGTGCTCAGTCAGGTCCTCTCTGACAAGGGGAGCCATGCTGGTTGTCGGGGAAGAAAGATCTAGAAAGAGCAGGGGCTTGCTCCTAAGGAGCCACAGTTTAGGGATAGGGTGGTCGTAGTTAGAGGCCGTTGTGGCCTGGGATTCGCCTGGCCAACACCGGTTGTCTCTTTTTTTCTTTTTCTTTTTTTGAGACAGAGTCTTGCTCTGTCTCCTGGGCTTGAGTGCCGTAGCATTAGCCTAGCTCACAGCAACCTCAAACTCCTGGGCTCAAGTGATCCTTCTTCCTCAGCCTCCCAAGTAGCTGAGACTACAGGCTCACGCCACCACGCCTGGCTAATTTTTCTATTTTTAGTAGAGATGGGGTCTGGCTCTTGCTCAGGCTGGTCTCAAACTCCTGACGTCAAGCAATCCTCCCGCCTCCAAGCAATCCTCCCGCCTCAGCCTCCCAGAGTGCTAGGATTACAGGCATGAGCCACCGCGCCCCGCCAGTTGTCTCAACATCACTATTAACAGCGCCCCCATCCCTCTCACTCCCAAATATGTCCCAGTTTGGTGACAAATTGGAACAAAGTGATGGGTTGGGGAGGAGAGCTGGAGGGGGTTCTGCTGGTCAGAACAGAGGATCCCAGAGCTGCATCAGTGAGCCAGGAGAGTTGCTCAGTCAGAGTTTGGGAGAAATGAATAGTAGATAAGAACGAAACGAAGCAAACAAAGCAATAAGAAAACTTGACCCTGGGGGAGAACTTATGTGAGTAAGCACATATAACCGGAGTAAACAGACCTGCAGCTGCAGGCAGTATTACTATTCATGTGTTTATGCCAAGGTAAACACTGGATAGCCATTTAAGTAAAAACTGTGGTATAATTTTGTAGGGAGGGAGAGGGGAGTCGGGTGATGTGAGTGAAAGCTTCACCTTCCGTTGTTGGAAGTCAATCCATAGTGTCTAAAATTGATAAGTGAAGAAGAAATTTGTGTGTGTGTTATTTAGAAACACAGAGGTGAATATCAGAGAACACTGCTCACGGTCTACAGTGATTGCCTCTGAGGAGTGACCTGGGACAGGGCAGCAAGTCTTCCCCCGGATCTGTCAGCTGTCCGAGTTTTCAGAGCACGTAACACTTGAATAAAAAACATTAAATCACTTTTTTTGAGACTGGTCTGAGTGCAGTGGTGTTTACAGTGAGTTGATCACAACCAGTTATAGGTTTCGTTGTTCCTTCCCCTCTCCCACTGTTCCACTTGACCAGCCTTAAAACAAACAAACCAACCCACTTCTCTTGAGAAAAGAAATAGGATGGGTGGGTGAGGTGGTGGCTAAAGGAACAAGTAGGGTCAAGATGGGGAAGAGCCTGGTGTGGTGGTGGCTCCTGTAGTCCCAGCTACTTGGGAGCTGAGGTGGGAGGATCGCTTGGACCCGGGAGTGCAGGGCTACGGTGTGCCACAATGGCACCTGTGCACAGCCACGCACTCCTAGAGCAGTCTGAGCAGCATAGTGAGACCCCGGCTCTTAAAAAAAAGAAGTGGGGAAGATATAAATATGTGTGTAGGCCAGGAGTTGGAAAACTTTATCGGTGAAAGGTCAGATCGTGAATATTCTAGGCTCATTGCATAAGGCCATAAGGTCTGTTGCAACTGCTGAACTCTGAAGTGGTAGCATGAAAGCAGTCAGCCGGCGGATGTGGCTATGTTCCAGTAAAGCTTTAACTGGTGCCTGTGCTTCTCCAGACTCGAGACTACTTCCAGCTGGGCCTGGCACCAACAGGGTGAACAGCACCTCCTTCAACAGCCCGTGGCCCTTAGAGGTCAGGGTTCTGCCGTAGAGCAGCTTGGACACCCTCAGGACTACAGGTTTAGGGAGAGCTCCTCCTGAAAACAGAATCTGCCTGAGCTGTGCCTGCTCAGGGGAAGCTGCTCCGGAGTGGTTTGGGCTCAGGTAGCAGCCACTGACCCTGCTGAGAGCCAGAGCTGCTCCAGGCAGGCAAGGTCCACATGCTGCCTCTTCCTCAAGGCCTGACATGCAGCTGGGCCCCGCCTCTATGGAGCAGCCCTTGTTTGAAAATCCGCTGCAGCCAGGCGGCACTCAGTCACCTTCCAGATCAGAGTGCTGCCTGCTGCTCACTCAGGCCATGGCAGAAGGTGCCATCCCTGGGATGGGAACGGTGGCAGCCATGTGGCCCAGCCCTAGAACCACATGAATGGTCCTGGTCTTTTTCATGAGATTCTTGTCTAGTTTGCTTGTCAAGTTCTGGATCATTTGAGAAATAAAACAAAAAACCCAGCAGATAGACACTAAGGTATCACTTTGTTACTCATAAAGCAGTGTAGTTTATACCTCTGGGCTGTGGGCTAACTCGCTCCTAACTGCAGAATTAGAGCTGCTCACCCTGTGGGAAGCAGCCTGGGTCAGGGCGGGCCCCCAGCGAGTACCCCCTGCCCCAGCAATACTTGCCGCACTTAGGGGCAGGCCCGAGAGGAAGTGTCCGAGAGGAAGAGACTTGTGCCATAACAATTCCTGGACCCTCCATCCCACTTTTATAATTCCACTGTCCATCTTCACTGATTTCTTCTTTCGCTTCCTTGGTTTACTTCCTATGGTAAATTGTGTTCTCTGGCAGCTCCCTGAGAAAGAGTACCGGGTGGCACGTTAGGGATCAAAGTGTCTGAGCTGGCTTCTCCTTCTTGTGCTTGTCCGAGACGCCCTGTTGTTTGAGTCCGGCTTGGGCATCTCCCCTGGGGTTTTGGGGACTCCTGTGGTCCTTTAGTCTCCAAGTCTGATGCAACAAGCCCTGACTCGTGTGTGTCACCTCTTTCCTTTCTTCTGTGAGGGTATGTATTTGGGTCCTTTTCTAAACCCAATAATGTAAAATTATTCTCTGGGTTAAGACAGGGATCCCAGAGCTGCATGGGTGAGCTAGGAGAGTTTCATCGTCAGAGTTTGGGAGCAGTTAGTAATAGAAACTTACAAAACAACGAGAAACTGTTAACTCGGGAAAAACATATAAGTAAGCAAATATAACTAGAGTAAACAAATCAGCTCAGCTGTGAGCAGTATTTACATGTTCATAACACGATAAACACTGGATATCGACTTTTTCTCATTTGTTACGCTAGGCACTCCATGGGCCTTTTGGTCTGTAAGTTCATGACATTAGCAGAGGGAAATTTCTTTTAGTATTTCTGTAATAATTTTCTTCCCTCCAGTTTTTCCTCTGTTCTCTCTTTCTGGGACTTCTAATCAGGTGTTTCATCACCTAAATTAATACTTTTCTCTTCTTATCAGTGTTTTGTCTTTCCTTTTTTGGTCTACATCTGAGAGGTTTCTTCAACTTTTAAGCTCCCATCCTTTTATTGACTTTTGAAATTTCTACCATCATATTTTTAATTTCTAAGAGCTCTTATTCTCAGATATTTTAATAAAAGCTTCTAGTTTTTATTCACAGATACACTGTTCTAGTGTATCATCTCTGGGAATATCATAGTTTTTAAAACGTCTCCTTCTGTTCTCCACACACTCTCTCCCCTCTGCGCACCTTGTCTCCTGCCTGTCAGCGCTGTGCTCCTTTCAAGAGTGAGGCCCCAAACCCTGCACAGAGCTTGGGGTCTGGAGGGGCTTGCTCACTGCGGGCTTCACCTCGGGATTCAGCAGCTGACTCTCTGGTTAGATGACAACTAGTTGACTTTTCTCCAGGAGAGGATCCTTCTAGCTCTTAGCTGTGACCATACACCAGTCAGCATCCTGGGAGCTGAGTCGGGAAGAGGGGCTGGGGGGCACCCAGCGTTGTTTTTACCAAGTCCCCTCTTTCAGGACAGCACCTGCTCCACCCCTCGGCCGTCGCTCAAGAGCTCCAGCCTACTTTTCCCAGGAGGGCGGAGGGAGGGGCAGGGTCCCACTGCTCTGTGACGGTTTCCTTCCACCCTTGCCAGCCACTGCCTCAGTGTTCAGGCCTCTCCGGAGTCGTGGGGCCTGAGTCCTCAGCTCCAGTCGGTGTCCCTTCTGTGGGCTCCTGAGGTTCCACCTTCCCCGCGCTGAGTTGTGCTCACGAGGCTGCCTCTGTCCCCAGGCCTGGTCCAGCATCATTTCCGCTTCTCTTTTCTTGTCTTTTAAATTCTTTGCATTATTTTAACAGAAGTTGGAGAGGGATTATCAACAAGTCTGTGTGCTCCATCTGCTGCGTTTAACTGGAATTCCTATTTCTTGTATAAATTTTAAAAACTACTAGGAGCAGTACCTGTTCTTTGAAGAGTAATTGTAAAGTACTGATAAAGAAAAAAATGGGACAGACGCGGGGGCTTGTGCCTGTCGTCCTGGTGCTTTGGGAGGATCACTTCAGGCCAGACATTCGAGACCAGCCTGGACCCTGCCTCTCCAAAAAAAAAAGAAAAAGACAAAGAAAAAAGGAGGAGATCTCAGTCCCTCCTCCTAGAAAGTCAGCTTCTTGTAGCCCATTCTGTGCCGTATGTGCACACATTTGTTACGCAGACAAGATCGGTTGGTTCCCTGTGTGCTTGAAACACTGTTCCAAGGCCTGGTCTGTACTTGCTTTTCTCTGCTTCCTCAGCGTTGCTTTTCCTCCTCACCCCACGGGATTTAACTTCTCCCCATCGCCCTCGTCCACCCTGTCTTGTTTAGGGTCTGGTAGACACAGAGCTTCGCTGTGGCCCTCGGGGTTGCGGGACTGGCCTTTCCCCTGCTCCATCTGGTCCTCCTGCCCGATTAGCCAAGCGTCATCCACTGTGCTGAGCACGTGTTGTCCAGTCCTTGCCACATCCAAGGTGGGCGCTGGCTACCCCATTTCACAGACAAGGACACTAAAGGCCAGAGAGGTCGGCTACTGAGGGGATGCACCTGGGCCTGAGCCGCTCCCTGTCCCGGCTTTCAGACCCCTCTCCTCACACACCCGCCTGCAGTGCCCCGTGTGCTGACCACGCCTGCGTGGGCCCCAACCAGCTCTTCTCTCCCAGCCGCCAGCCTGCTGGCTTAGCTCCTGCTGTTGGGCCACTCTTCGTGACCCAGAAGGTCCGTCACACTCAGCCCGCCCTCACGACTCTGTTCCTCAGAGCTCTAAAAGCTGCTTTCTTGTCTGGGCTGGTGAGGAACACCCACCCCAGCAGCCGAGGCCCCTCCCCTCCTTCCCCTTCCACACGTGTTTGGCCATTGTGCTGGGCTAGCCGTGTCCACGAACCCAGCCCCTAGCTAGTCACGGTGACCGCCTTGGCTTAGGCCCAGTGCTAGGGCCTCCTCTGTGCAAGAGAAGGAAGGTCATAGCACCGACCTCAACCGAGCGCTTCCTATGTGCCAGGCACTGCTCTGCCTTGTACCCGTTATCCCTGTTATCCTCACAAGAGACCCATGGGATGGGCAGGTACCCTCACCTGCATATTCGAAGGAGAAAACCTAGACACAGAGAGGTCAGGTGACTTGCCTGGTGTAGGGACGGCCTGTTCCAAGGCAGTCAGTCCCACTGCGTTCTTGCCTCTCCGGTGCCCCCGGACACAGGGATATGGAGCCCTAGGCCTTGTTCCTGGCACCGCTGTTGAGGGCTCTGTCCTAGCTACGGGCCAGGTGTGCCTGTCATGGGGTGACAGCCGCCACCCACCCCTTGTCTGCCAGATGCTAAGGAGGGAGCACAGTGATGTCATCATGGAATTACACGTGATGGACTAAGGATGATTTTGTATTTGGTCATACATTTTTACTAAACAAAAAGCACATTATTCACAAATACTGGTATTTCTTAATACTGAATTGCTTGCCTAACACCTCACAGGTGATGCTGCACAGCAGGCTGCTGCTGCGATGTGTCTCCAGCCTAGGGCAGGTGGGGTCTGTGCGTGGTGGCAGGAAGGGACCCGGGTGAGGAGAGGGGAGGCAGGCTTGATGGGGGGTGGCGTGACCGCGGTGAGACGGGAGGTGAGGGCCTGGTGGTGAGCACCAGGCCTGGAGAGAGGAGACGCCAGAGGCCAGGAAAGGTTATTTAGAGAGTGGAAATAGAGACTGTAGGACATCCGAGTGAAGGGTATGAGGAGCCTGTCAAAGGCATATTAAAAACTTTGAGCTTCTGATAGTCAAGAATACCAGTTATTCTCAGAAGAATCACGTTTCTGTTCTGTTCTGATCACGCGGGTCTGCTTCCTAAGACGCAGGTTGTGGAAGCAGCTCCTGAGAGTTGGAGAAGACTAATTTCACCTCCAGTTGCTTGGACTGTGCCCTTTTAGATACCCAAACACAGCCTGTGAGCTTCTGACTTGTGATGTGCCGCAGATCAGCGACAGACTGGGCGGGGACGGGCGTCTGCTGGGCCTCCTGTGTGACTTCCTGGGCCGCGAGCCGCCGCTCAACCCGCTGCTCGCCAGTTTCTTCAGCAAGACCATCGGCAACCTCATCGCAAGGAAGACGGAGCAGGTGAATAACGCGCAGAGCCCACGTGGCTCTGGATGCTGTCCTGCTGGGCGCTGGTGCCACTGGCGGCCTCGCCATGGCCTCGTCATCAGGCTGTGGGGGCGCGTGTGGAGTATTGTGGGGCGCTCTCTGCGAGTTGGGGTTTGAATGGGAATGTGGCATCCCCTGGAGTGTTCTTGAGGGCGGGCTCTGGAACGCCAGCCCTTCCCGCCACCCCAGAGTAGGCCGGCTCGTCACATCACCAGGTACAGGCCTGAGGTCCTGGGATGTGCCTTTGTCACGCAGGACCCTCTGAGGTCTCTGCTTCATCTGTGCGGGCGACATGTGTCTGTCCAGGGCACTCACTGTTTCAAAGCAAATAAAAGGTGACTTCTAGCATTAGACCTCTGCAGAAGTAGCAAGTGGATCTGTCCCATTCAGCTGTGGCGGGCTCCTCCTGGAGTCCACCTCCTGACGTCCGACCTGTCATGGCCTTTGGCCTCTCCACACTGTGGACACACGGGTAGAGGGAGGTGTGAGGGAGCCCTGGGCCTGGACCAGCCTTCCTCTGTTATCCCTGCCGGCATCCCCACTGGATTAATTCACAACAAATCCCAGACATCAGATCATTTCTTCTGTATTTCAGTATGTATCTCTAAAATAAGGACTTTTTTCTTTTAAATAAAACTAGAATTTCATTATCTCACCCCAGAAATACTAACTGTATTGTTTAATACCATCAAATATCCAATCAGGGAACAAAGCAATATTTTGTATCTGTGTCTTGAGCTCTGAGAAGGTGCAGCCCCCCAGGAAAGTGGATGTTTCACTTGAGGAAATTCCACAGGGGTGTTGTGAGTATCCAGGGAAGGTCATCTGTCCCTGGTTGTCAATCTGAGGTTTACAGGGACCCCTGAGGACTGTCTCAACTCAGATCTTTTTTTGCAGCAGAATGTAAAAGAAGAGTGGTGGCGGTCGTGGGTGGTAGTGGGGGTGCTCCCCCGGGGGCGGCTGCAGGATGGGAGTGTGAGTCCTGGTCACAGCAGGAACCGTGCTGGACAAAGACCTTTTGGTGTGTGGCCCTTGCAGCCCCATGACGGGATGTGTGTATCTCATAATTTTACTATAAGCTGATCATATGCCTCCGCCACTTTCAGATATTTTCTTTATAATTTAACTGCTTCATATAATATTTCCCTTTCCTTCCCTT